GGTTTCTGGGTTCTGCGTTTAGGGCAGCTTAGGGTTTAGGGTTTAGGGTTTAGGGTTTAGGATTTAGGGTTTAAGGGGGCAAGCCCTACTTAGACAGCCTTGGGCCGAGTTGTAGGCACTTTGGGGGTTTCTGGGTTCTGCGTTTAGGGCAGCTTAGGGTTTGGGGTTTAGGGTTTAGGGTTTAGGGTTTAGGGTTTGGGCCTGGCTGCAAAACGTTTCCTAAGGTATTCCCTGCATTGGTACAACATCATAGCTTCCAGAGGCTCCTTCATGTGAATAGTCCTTTCGAGAAAAATCTCAGCACGATTTCTGCTACGATCTGGGTCCGAGCTAGTAGTTCGTAGTTAGTAGAACGACAAAATTTGTCCTTTTTGGGGTGGGGCTTGTAGGCTGTGGCTTGGAGCTTTGGGGTTTGGGGCCTTATGTTGATGCGCTTTAAAGCCCTTCTGGGGCTTGGGTTTCGAGCCGGTTTTGCCGAGCTCAACCCGCATATTTTGTTTGCGCTTTCGGGCGCTTCTTTCCCTGTGGCCATAAGGGCTCCACGTAGTCATATACTTTAAGAACCCAAAACCTACTTTTTTGTAGGGTCCCTATACATCCCATATTAATAAGAACCTACAAAAAGTGGGTTTTGGGTTCTTAAGGTAGGCATATCATATAGTAGATACTTTGGCCCTACAGTACCCGTATCTTTCATTTCTTCAAAGCCAAAGCATGCAGTATACGGGTAAGTGGACCCCAATGCGAGGGGGAAAAAAGACCCTTAAACGACCCCTTAAGCGAACCCTTAATAACGAAAGCTATGGCGCCGAAACTCTAAACCCTAAACCAACTCACCTTGCCGGCCTTGTGCGAGCGTGAGAGTCGAAACCTTACCTGTAGTCTCCATTGTAGTTCCTTTTGGGGGTCACCTTTTAGGATCCTTAAATTAAAATAGGTTAAACCAGAAAAAGGAACTACAATGGAGACTTTAGGTGATTTTTCAAATCTCAGGAACAGTGGTGAAGAGTCCAAGAAGTCTGTGCAGATCATTGCGAGAGCAGATGCCCTGCTCAACATTTTAGGATGTACAGGGTTTACGGGGTTTTTGGTGTTTAGGGTGTTTTAGGGTTTAGGGCGTTTTAGGGTTTAGGGATTTTAGGGTTTAGGGTTTTTAGGGGTTAGGGTTTTGAGGGTTCAGGGTTTTTAGGGTTCAGGTTTCCTTTAAGAGTTCCCTCAAGGGGTCCTTTCCGGTGGGCTGCCGTTGCAGGATCTTTGAGGGCTTGATGTTTTGGGTTCCGTGTTTCTCAACATGAGATCTTTCGGGTTTAGGGCTTGGGGTTTGGAGTTTACAGTCTAAAAGGGTTTAGAGCTTGGGGTTTTGGCTGGTTTAGGGTTCTGGTTTAGGGTGTAGGGTTTAGGGTTTAGGGTTTAGGGATGTTTAGGGTTCTGGTAAGGCTTCTCCTCTAAAAGCTTTGGGTTTAGGGTTTAGGGTAGCCCGAGTCTTTAGGTAGCTCTCTGTAGTCAAAGAAGTGTCAAACATGTATTTCATCCCTAAACCCCTAAACCGTTAGTTCAGGCAAGTTGGAGTCGCTGATGGCGCCTAGGTAGGTTTCATTATGAGGAAGCTCCAATGTGTGTGTGTGTGTGGTTAAGTTATCTTTAGTTTCTGCGGGCGCACAAGGGAAAAGTACGCCCTCCTGGTCCAAGTCCTTACATAAGTATACTAAACTAGACTGCGCAGAGCTAGTTTTAAATTATGGAGGTCGTGATCCTACCCAAGCCCAGAAACGTGAGCCCAAGAGCGGGACGGAGCGCCATGCTTCCTTCTTTCGACGTTTGCAGCTGAGTGTGAGAAGGAAGACCCAAGCACGCCAACCAAGACATACTTAAAGGATCATGGGACTTCGTAAGTAGGGTTATAATTAGGGGAACTATACTTATAACTCCAATTAAGGGACTTATAACCTTACTTACTAAGTCCCATGATCCTCCAAGTATACTGATGCATGAAATCCATATGCGTCCAGGCATACCTGAAGACCTACCCACTGTAAAGCTGCCCATATTCATTCAACGTGGCCTTACGGCTTCAACAAGGCTTGCTGTGGCGTGCGAACTGCAATAGTCTTGAAGGGTCAACAGTAATAAGCAGCCATAACACAAATCTTATGTCTCTTATCCCAGACCCAACGTGTGCAAAAAGGATTTGCCCTTGACACCCACCAGGGCATACGTGGGATGGTGTTCGTGTGTCGCTGACGAAGTTCATACTTCAAGTATATTTTCATGCCAACCATTACCTTGGATTCGTCGGTTGGTACCAAGACTTATATCCTAGACCGAAGCTGCTCTCCGTAAGCCAGGATTCTTCGGATTCTGCTCCACCTGGCATGCCCCCGGTGATGCAACGCTCCCGCGTGCGAAGGCGACACCCAAGAATAACGGGTTTGGAGTTCGCGGTTCAGAGTGTCGAGGTCTGGCTTTGAAGTTCAGGATGTGGAGTGTACGGGTTTGGGTTCTGGCATGTGCTGAGCATTGAGGGTGAGACTTGGCAAGTAACGCATGAATACCAATGACAATTATTCTTCTTGCAAAGCCTTAAGCCCTAAACCCTAAACCCCAAACCCTAAACCCTAAACCCTAAACCCCCTGCTTATCCCAATCTGTATGCCCTCGTACAAGCTGCTTGCCAGCCCTGGACAAGCCAATAGATAGACAGATTGATAAGGCATAGATAGATGAGGTAGATCGGTAGATAGCTGGCTGCTTAGGTTAGGTTAGATTAGATAAGCTCGGATTAGCAGGTAGACGGATAAAACAGATCAGGTAGGTAGGTAGGTAGGTAGGTAGGTAGGTAGGTAGGTAGGTAGGTAGGTAGGTAGGTCGGTTGGTCGGTCGGTCGGTCGGTCGGTCGGTAGGTAGGTAGGTAGGTAGGTAGGTGATAATTAGGTCAGATGGATGGGCTGATTGATTCAATAGCTAATTTGCAGACCCGCTGTTTGTTTATACACCAGAAAACAGGCTCCCTGAACCGTGAACCCTACACCCTAAACACCTGCACTTTCTTGGAAGTGTCTCACCTCATCCGACTCCGCACCAATAACCTCGCATGGTTTGTCCGACCTGCGCTGCAGGGCATCTTTAGCTTCGAACATGTCGAAGCTCTCGGCTTCGTCTTTCTTTGCGCAGGAGAACCGAGCAGTAGGCAGGGTGGAGGGTTTGGGGCCCTAAACCCTAAACCCTAAGCCATAAACCCCCAAACCCTAAACCCTAAACGCTAAACCCTAAACCCCTTAGGGTTTAGGGTGTAAGGATGTCGAGGGTCGGGGGTTTTAGGGAGGCCGACACCGTACCTTCTGGAAAATGCAGGCCGTCTTTGAGCCAGTGCAAAAAAAGGTATGAAATGTCCCAAACGGCCTAAACCCTAAACCCTAAACCCTTGGGTTTAGGGTTTGGGGTTTAGGGTTTGGGTTGCAGTGGATTGAAGGGTTTAAGATTTGAAGGTTCTGGGCTCGGGCTGTTGGGTTTGCAGTTTCCGGTCTGGGCTTTCGCGTCTGTTTGAGGGCTTGTCTGGCGACAGCCGATATGCCTACTGTGCATGCCCTGGTTTCTGTGAGCCCTTTTACTTTTAATATTGGATATACTGGGAAAGTCGCCTACTGTTAGGGTCCTAAACTTCTTAAACCAAACCCTAAACCGCTAAGTCCGTTCATTGGCTCATCTTGCTGTTCATGTCGTACTCCTCCTTTACAGTGCCTAGAAACTTAACGGTTTAGGGTTCAGGGGACCCAAACCCTCATTCTTTTTCTGGTTGGCCTCATCCGAATCCCCGAGCCTAATCTGCGGGTCGGACAGATTCGGACAGATACAGGCCAGTGTGTATTGGTCCC